CACACAGACCCTCCGGAACCTTGGGAATGGAACAGGGAATGGCACAGGGAATGGCACAGAGGGCACGGCACAGAGCGGGGAAAGGGGTGAGTGCAGGAACGGGGATGGGCACATGGATGGGCATGCAGACAGACACACAGACAGACACACTGACGGACGGGGCTGGAGAACCTGGAATGGCTGAGGGAGCTGGGAAGGGGCTGGAGAACAGGGAATAAGGGAGCTGGGAAGGGGCTGGAGAACCTGGAATGGCTGAGCTGGGAAGGGGCTGGAGAACTGGGAATGGCTGAGGGAGCTGGAAAGGGGCTGGAAATTCAGGAATCGTGGAGCTGGGAAGGGGATGGAGCAGCAGGAATGTCTGAGGGAGCTGGGAAGGGGCTGGAGAATCTGGAATGGCTGAGGGAGCTGGGAAGGGGCTGGAGAACTGGGAATAAGGGAGCTGGGAAGGGGCTGGAGCAGCAGGAATATCTGAGGGAGCTGGGAAGGGGTTGGAGAACAGGGAATGGCCGAGGGAGCTGGGAAGGGGCTGGAAATTCAGGAATAGTGGAGCTGGGAAGGGGATGGAGCAGCAGGAATGGCTGAGGGAGCTGGGAAGGGGCTGGAAACCAGGAATGGCTGAGGGAGCTGGGAAGGGGCTGGAGAACATGGATTGGCTGAGGGAGCTTGGGGGGCTCATCCCAGAGAAAAGAGGGATCAGGAGGGACCTTTTCCCACTCCAGAATTCCCTGAGGGGGGGGTCGGGCACTGCTCCCAGGGAACAAGGGCCAGGAGGAGAGGGAACGGCCTCCAGCTGCTCCAGGGGAGGCTCAGGTGGGATATTGGGAACAATTCCCACATGGAAAGGGCTGCCAGGCCCTGGAATGAACTTCCCAGGGCAGGGCTGGAGTCGCCATTCCCGGAGGGATTTCAGATCCCTGGGGATGTGGCCCTTGGGGACACGGATCCAGGGTGGCCTTGGAAGTGCTGGGAATGGTTGGACTCCATGATGCCGGAGGGATTTTCCAACCTGAACCATCCCTAAGGATTCCCTGATCCCTTCTCCCAGCTCCCATCCCCCACCCTCGGTCATATCCCGGTGGGATCTCACCTGGAATTGCAGCTTGGGAGCCAGGAGGTTGTTCTGGGACGGCGGTTTGTACATGGGTCTGCTGGGCTGTGGGAAGAGCGGGAAGAGGGAAATTCCAGTGGGAATGTTCCCACCTCCGTGTCCCACCCGCCCTGGGAAGGGGCTGGAGAACCTGGAATGGCTGAGAGAGCTGGGAAGGGGCTGGAGAACCAGGAATAAGGGAGATGGGAAGGGGCTGGAAAACTGGGAATGGCTGAGGGAGCTGGGAAGGATCTGGAGTAGCAGGAATATCTGAGGGAGCTGGGAAGGGGCTGGAGAACCTGGAATGGCTGAGCTGGGAAAGGGCTGGAGAACAGGGAATAAGGGAGTTGGGAAGGATCTGGAGAACCGGGAATGGCTGAGGGAGCTGGGAAGGGGCTGGAGAACAGGGAATAAGAGACCTGGGAAGGGGCTGGAGAACAGAGAATAAGGGAGCTGGGAAGGGGCTGGAGCAGCAGGAATATCTGAGGAAGCTGGGAAGGGGCTGGAAATCTGGGAACAAGGGAGCTGGGAAGGGGCTGGAGAACCTGGAATGGCTGAGGGAGCTGGGAAGGGGCTGGAGAACTGGAATAAGGGAACTGGGAAGGGGCTGGAGAACCGGGAATGGCTGAGGGAGCTGGGAAGGGGCTGGAAAACTGGGAATAAGGGAGCTGGGAAGGATCTGGAGAACTGGGAATAAGGGAGCTGGGAAGGATCTGGAGCAGCAGGAATGGCTGAGGGAGCTGGGAAGGGGTTGGAGAACCTGGAATATCTGAGGGAGCTGGGAAGGATCTGGAGAACAGGGAATGGCTGAGGGAGCTGGGAAGGGGCTGGAAAAGCAGGAATGGCTGAGGGAGCTGGGAAGGGGTTGGAGAACCTGGAATGACCAAGGGAGCTGGGAAGGGGCTGGAGAACAGGGAATGGCTGAGCTGGGAAAGGGATGGAGAACAGGGAATATCTGAGGGAACTGGGAAGGGGCTGGAAAACAGGGAATGGCTGAGCTGGGAAGGGGCTGGAGAACTGGGAATATCTGAAGGATCTGGGAAGGGGCTCCGTGCCCACCTTGGGAGGCGGCTCCTGGAATGCCGGAGGCTCCAGGATTTTGGGAGGGCGCTGCCGGTGGTTCCTCTCCTGCTCCTCGGCCAGTTCCTTCTCCATCAGGTAAATGTCGCTGGGATGGGGGGACAGGGAGGGTGAAAATCCCGGGATGGGGCATTCCCGTGTCCCCACGGCACGGAGAGAGGGATGGGGGAGGTGGATGGGACGTGGAAAACAGGAGGGAAAACAAGGAAAGGGTGGGAAGAGCCAAGGGAAAGGACTGGGAAGAACACGGCCTGATCCACACCAGCATCCCCAGGATGATCCCAGGGAATTTTGTGGGATCAGGACCCTCTCCCA